ATACTTTTCTAAGTCGAAGTGGTTCTCATCTATTCTGCAACCTTTGATGGAATCTATGTTTTTCATGAATGTATCTGCATCCCGGATAAACTTACATGCTTCAGAAATGACACCAGTTCTGTTGTCATTTGCTAACAAAACACTGCTGTAGTAGTTATATGGAAATACTTCTTTCGGTCCTGTTTGTAAGTTAAACATAGCAGGAAATAGTTTAAGCTTCTTATTTATAACACTGTAAGAGTCTTTTATAATAATTGCCCTTCCTTTATATAAGCCAGTTATTTGCATTGTTCGTGAACCTTTAATGATGGGAGTTCCTTTCACTTCTGTCATGTGTCTTAAGATGAAGTTTATATCATAACTGAGGTTATGGAAATATATTAAACTCTTGTCAGGAAGTCGTTCCAAAAATTCTGTTGCACAGTTCTGACCCCAAATGCTTTCACTCACTGAACCATCTTCACTGTCGTAACATATGTTAAAAGCTTTATGAAAGCCATCGGTACTGCACTCAAAGTCAGCAAAGAAAACGTGCTCAGGAATGAACTTGCACTTATTTTTATTTACTTCTTTTGACTCGGCTTTCTTCTTCAGTTGTACACAATACTTTGGAGCATATGTCAAATCTTTAAATGGTGCAAGGTTCTGTTTATATAAGTCAGTCGTATATGTGAAAAGTTCTCCATAAGAAATAGGTTCGAAATATTTGCACTCCCACAATGTTTTCATAACATCCCATAACGGTGTTGTTCTATCATAACGAACTACATATTTATCTTCTCTCTTTGTATAAATCTTCATTTGTTTCTCAATGTTCATTCCACCACAAGCTTTGAGAATTTCTTTGTAATTTCTGACGAAATATGTTGTCATTGGTAATCTTTCGTTTAGCATGTAGTGGTCTTCAACAAGAAGTAAGTCAATAGTTCGAACAGTTTCACATTCTTTTGGTATGTATCTCTTTATTTCATTATGTCTTGAGTCATTGAAATAACCAATGGTAACATTAAATGCTATACCTGTTGCGTCAGAAATTTCTTGTACTTTACTTTGAGGAAAGTCTCTAACACGAATGACTTCTCTCATGTGGTCAATAGTCTCTCCATCTACTCCAGCCTGAATGCAAGCATAAACGAAACAATTGTCTTCTGTCATAAGTGTTGCAGTTCTTTTGTTCAGTTCATTGAAGATTTGGTAGCGTTCAAGATTTATAGGTAATGTGCAAAGATACTTCCAGAACTGACCGCTTCTCTTCTTATAAAACTTCTTTTCACCATTATCTTTCCAAAAGCTTTCTATAAGTGCTGGGTTTCCTGTTTGCTTAAGAGCTTCCAAAATGGCTTTCTGGTCATTTGTCAGTGTGCTTTCATCTCTATATGGTCTCTTTTTTGGTTTGCCTTTCTTTACATCTGACATCGTTAAGCCTTCATATTCTGTTAAATCATACATCTTTATTTCAGTAAGATTCTTTATGTTTGTCAAGAAGAAGTCATAGTGCATTTCAACAATACCTGCAGCATTTGCTTCTATCTCTGATATAAAGTTCTCCTTCAAGAGCTGATGTAGTAATGTTCCAATATTATTGAGGTTTAACGTAGAACATTCATACTTTCCACCAAGTTTATAACATACCATCCATCTCTGTTGTGAGTTTATTTTAATTTTCTCTAAGAGTCTCATGAAAACCTTACCGAAATGTTTGTGTAAGTAGTCTCTGTTTGGTTCATCTAAAGCTTCGATGTTAAAGTCAATGAGTCTATTGCCTGACTTCACATTTCTCTTCCTATTCTCTTCATCTTTCTTTAACCATCTCTCACCTTCTTTTGGTTTGTCGTCAATGGAACGAATGACATCGTTAGCTTTGCGAACTTGTTCTATAGCGCTCTTAAACATCTCTCTTCTCTGTTGTTTCAGTGTGTCGTCTCTTCTTCTTGTTTCACCAACGTTTGCATTTGTTATGTCAAACATTTCTCTTCTTACTTCATGAGGTACTGAACGTCTATGATATAAGTCAATAGCAACGTCATTTAAAGGAAATGCTCTTGCATGGACTTCGTCCTCGCCGCGTTGCGGCTTTATGAACTCATGAATTCTATCATAACTTATTGCACCATTATAGTCTTTAATGAAGTCAGCGAGTGCTTTTTTGTTTGTTGCGTAATGTTTTGCAACATCTATGTTAGCTTCTGTAAGAAGTTGTTTTATTTCCGAGTGTTCTAACTTAGACAACTTCCGATACATCTTTAGTAGGAAATAAAAAAATATTTTTTGAAAAAATTAGATTAGATTTTTTTAAGTTATTTTTCAAAATAATTTAATATTTTTATTTTAATGAAACACATGCAAGATTGCAAGTTCTTTTCATACAATGCTCTCGCTACTGCCATCAAGAATGAGTTCAATAATGCTTCAAATGTTAATGTTATCTTTAACAAGAAGTTTGTGAAAGAATCTAAGTTTGGTCAGTATGTCAGACCATTAGCTATCGTCATTGACCGCAAACGTTATACTTCACAAGAGTTAGCAGTAGTTTTGAAACAAAAGAGTTTCTTCGTGAATGTCAAAGATACTCATTATACTGTCATAAAGAACTCTAATATTGACTTCTTCAGTATTGCTTTAAATCTTTCCGAACAGAAAGAATATAAGAAGGGTGAAACAAATGTGAAATATTATCCTTCATCTCTGAAGACAATAACGAACAAAGATGTTATACAGAAATTCTTACCAAAGGTTGAAGAAGCTTCTATTGACATTGACGAAGGAAGTGAAATGGTTGAAGAAATAGACCCTGAAGCTATTTAAGCAAAAATATATTTTTGGTTAGTCTTCATATCGATATTTTACAACAATTCCCCAATGTATAAACTTTTCATACGCTTTTTCATAAGCTTTATATACCTTCAGAAATTTTGCATAATCTTTAGAAGCATTTAGATATTGTTTAAATGCTTTGTATGTCTTCAGAAATTTTGCATAATCTTTTACATGTTGTTCGTTCTCTTCTTCTGTCATGAGTTCCGAATATTCTAAATTCATGTTCTTTCATATGAGATAAAATTTTATAAAAAAAATAAAATTAGCTTAGATTTTTTTATTCTTCCTCTTTGAAGTTATCGAAATATTCTGTTATTTTTTCCTTCAGTAATGTTAAGTCTTCTTTGAATGTAAGTATTGTGCAACCTTTGATGTCATAGTGTGTTTGAGGAAGAGTATTTTTGACAATTTCCTTTATTTGCTCATTCGGTGTCATTGAAATCGGTAAGTTTTCACGATAGAACCAGTTTCTGTCAGATTTATATATTTTAGCTAAGTCATAAAAGCTCTTGTTGTTTCTTCTGACTAAATGCAACATAACCACATCTTTATCTTCTTCTTTCTCCAACTCTTCAGTATATATCATATACTTATAACTCTTTTCCTTTCCTTTTGGTACCGAACGCGGTATTCTTTTCTGTATGCTTTTGTCTTTGGATTCAATGACTTCATCTTTTGCTTGAAGTTTCTTTTCCATCTCTCCACGTTCTGCTTTATATAGTTCATCTAACATCATGAAAATATAACAAGCATAACGAGGTGAAGCCCACATTGCTACAGCATTTACTAAAAGTCTATGAACATAATAACCTTTCAAACCAGGAGCCAAATTCTTGCGATTTTCGTACGGAATCTCTTCTCCGGTTTTCCGAGGGAAGCAATCATATGAGGAAATTCTTCTAAAAGTTCTTTTGTCTGTTGGTTTTCAAACCAATGATATGCTTGCTTTGTAGAACGAAGAGCGTTCATTATACTTTGCATTTGGTACATATCGTCTTTGACCGAACGAATGAGGCGAAGTTGTTTGTTATATTGTATGTATTCGTATTCTTCATTTATAGCTTCATGGACTATAACTGTTGTTGTGTTCTCTGATGTTGTCATTACTGTCTTTACATACAAAATAAAAAAATAAATAAAAATAAAATTAGCGTTATTTTTTCTGAGATAAACACTATTTCTTCACAACATTAAATTTTATCCTGTATGAAATGACTTTAAAAAGATTATTGACTGACTTCGAATACTATCTCATTGACGCACTGACAGACCCTCAAAACTGTGTTGAAAGTTCTTTAAGCTTTAAGATTGAAGGTACGACGCATTTTGTCTTCACTTACGTATTGAAAGAATATGACCGTTATCATAACGAAGTGAATCAAACACTAATAAAATTTGTAGATAAAAAATTGGTTAACAATGATGAAGAATACAGACAAGTTATTGAAAAAAATAACGCAAGATTAGATGCAATAGAAAAGAAGTTTAATGAATGTCTTACAAACACGTATGAATATCTTATGCGGTGGGAAGCCAGATGGAAATAAATTTACGTCAAATATGCAATTTATAAAATCTTATGTCGACAGGCTACGTAGCACAGTGGTCTAAGGTGGTGTTATGGAGGGGTCAGGGTCTGTGGTTCGAACCGCGACAGCGCCGTATTTTCTTATTTTCTTTGTTTGTCTTGTTTGTCGTGAATAAAAAGTGTAAGAAAAGTGCTCTATCTTCCACGGGAATAAATAAAAAATTTACTTTATTTCTTCTTTATTTCTTCTTTATTTCTTTGTTCCCGTGGAAGAAGGGTTTTGCTGTTTTTTCTCAGCCGAAATCAATGATTTTTTCATTTTTGGAATCCTTATCGAATGAGGAATCTTTTCTCTCGTGGAAGCTTTGACCAAAAATAATTTTTAGGTGAAGAGGTGAGATCTCACCTGTTTTTTCACCTAATTTTTCACCTAATTTTTCACAAGCGTTTTACATGAATTGTACGATGTATATTTGAAATCCTAAACAATTTCGTAGCTTCTATTTCTTCTTTTAGTACATCAAAAGTTTTAACAATGCCGAAGGTTTCTTTATATTTCTTCTTGACGTCAGACAGAAGGAAATCTTCTGCTGTTGGATAGTTTTTATTAAGAAATGTCAACATATCCATTTTATCTTCTGCTGGCTTTTCTGCTTCTTTCTTTAAGTCTGCATAGTCGTTTCGCATTCTTTCTATCTCTTTGACTGAGTAGTTATATTTTCTTATTGCTGCTTTACATTTTGAACATTGCGGCATCGTTTTTGCGTTATACATTGAAATAAAACCAGCTAGAACAACTAAGGCGTCAATGGTTTTCTTTAACTCAAAAGCTACTGGTTTTATCTGTTCATTCCATACCTTACCTCTTCTATCTTTATCTCTTATCTGCCATACACATTTTGCAACTAATGAAACAAAGTTATCGTATGTCTTAAACTCCCCAGATTTATATATGTCAGAGATGTTCTTATATACCATGTCGCAATCTTTGTCCATAACTTTATGGTTGCAATGAAAACCAAGGAATTCATAATTTACCTTTCGTATGAATTTCTTAATTTCTACTGAGTCAGTTGCTTCGACTTCAATTTCGTCGAATTCAGGAATAGTTAGTTTTTGCTGCTGAATTTCAGGTAGTTTAGGCAAATGGTCGATGAGGTCCTCCATTTCATAAAGATACTGTTCATTTGTTTCATCTTTCGCACTACAGTCTAAATTACTTGTTAAAAGTTCTTGCTTTATCTTCTGGATTTCTGTTTCAAAAGTATATGAAGAAGGAATAAAGCTTTTCATCTCTACCAACATTGACGTAGGATTCATGACTAGCGAGTTTGGTGCTGTAGTTGTGGACAGAGTCCCGCCGTTCGTGGCTTGAATTGTTGTTGTGCCGATTGTTGAAATCATATCTTTTATACAAAATAAAAAAATAAATAAAAATAAAACTAACTTTATTTTTCTATCTTAAGGGAATTCATGAAAATTCACGAGAAAGCTAAAGCAATCTGAGCCGCTAAGCGGCGAGGGTGAAAAAACGGGTGAGATCTCACCTCTTCACCTAAAATATATTTTTGGTGTAAATTTATGACAAAAATAAATGGTACCATTAATGATATCATGACTGTTCTCATTCATGTCTGATTTACATCTAATGAAAAAGTTTAGAAGAATTTTCTCATTCTTTCTGGCTTATTTTTGTCTTTCCAGTACTCCCGCTCTAATGGCCCCAGATGTGTTGGCTTTGACTCTCTCAAGTTCTTAGATGGTATAACATCTTCAACGCCTCCTTCATATCTTACTTTATAAGTGTCATCGTTTATGTTGTAGCCAAGTATTTCAATAACCACTCCTCGCTTTGCTTCGTCAATGGTTTCAGCAAGTTTGCCATTACTACTTTCGACTAATTTGTGACGAGGGTAAAACGCAATAGAGTCGTCAGCAGCTTTTATAAGATATCCATTACCTTGCGTAGAGTCTACGATATAATAGTTTCTACTTAACCTTAAACGTTTCTTTGTCAACGGTTTGTCGTCAAGAACTACACGAACTTTTGTACCAGGAATGAGGGTAAATTGTGTTGAATTTCTGATATTTTGTGTTTGGCTTCGTTTCTTTTGTATATACTTTTCTTCTTGTTGTTGTGTCATTGAATTTGGTGTATGTCCTGTTGTAGAATGTGTTGAGGAATTATATACTTCGAGAAAATGTTTCATTGTTTCTTCGGTAAAGTCTCGCTCTTGGTTTAAATCTCTGAGCGTTCTTATGAAGCGGTTTATGATGCCGAGTATGTTATGGTTATGGTCTTCAGTAGTGTAGTGAGTTATGTTATGCTTAATGAGAAAATCTGTGATTTCATTACTGAGGTATGCACTGTCTTGGTCTGATGTTAAAGTACTTGGGCTATGTTCTGCTACAAACTTTTGTAAAACTCTTAACACTTCACGAGTTCCTTTATTTTTCATTGGATATGCATATGCTTTACGAGTGTTAACATTAATGAAGATGAGGAATGGTTTATGTCCTCCTTTTCTGCTTTGAATGAGAGTGTCAAATTGGTATGCGTCAGGAGCGTTGGAGTAAATTGGTAAAAAGTAGTCGTAAGGGTTTATTTTTGTTTGATGTACAACATTTTTGTCAAAGAACCTTTTCACTTCAGCTCTGTTAGTAAATCCCCAACTCTTTGCAGCTTCATTGAACTTCTTAAATGACCTCCATGGATGTTGTTCGAATACTTCTTTCAAGCTCATTTATGTAAAGTTAAAGATTTTATTCTAGGCTCAAGCGCGTTCATTGAACGCGGTACCATGCGAATATAGTCACAAATGGTGGCATATAATATGCACCCGAGCCTGTTGGATTTGTTGTGAAAGTGTGTGAATGATTTCCTCCTGGTTCAGTTGGTCGAAAAATCTTTTTTGCTGCATTGTTATAAGATGGAGATAAAACATCATTGCCAGCTTCATACTCTGAGTTGTATAATGGGTGGTCTCTTAATGAGTGGCTATGGTCGCCAGAAAAGTTTGTAGTTCCTGTATGAGTGTGCGGTGGAAGGTTTGCTTCTTTAATTTTCTTCGAACCACCGGCTTGTTTTGAACTATTAGTACAATATAAGAATTTGTCTACAATCTGCTTCCATGTACCAAAACCCAGAACTGTTGCTGGATTTGTTGAATTCATTGATGTATATAAAGAACCAACAGGATATAATGTTTGAAGTATTTCAGTCTTTAATGTTTGAAGCTCTGTTTTGTCAGCTTTCTTATCTAACATTGCTGGTAGTTCGTATGCTTCAAAGTTTCTGACATGACCTTCAATGTTCATACATCTGTTATCTAAGGAGTTTAGTGTATCTTTTACGCTTGTACTTGGATTCTCTAAAGGTGCACTTGAACCGAGGGTATAGTTCAATATTGTGTCGTCTGCTTTACTATTTAATGTATGGTTCTTGTCGGCTTTACTATTTAATGTAGCTTGAAGTTCATTTATATCGGAGATATTGTGTTTATGAGATTTCAAAACTTTGTTCGTTGCGTCAAGTTCATCTTTGTCAGCTTTACTTTTAATAGCATCTTCAAAAGTTATTTTTGCCTTAACTCTCAAAGTAAATCTTGGTTCAACTAATACACCGTTAACAAAGAAGTATGAAGCATAAATTTCATTGTTATAACCAAATGCTTCTGGTGCTTTACCTGTGTCATACTGTACAGTACAGTGTATGTCATAACCTTTAGCACGAATGAATTTATATCTTCTTTCATTAACATCTTTCGTCTTCACTTCTTCATCCTGTGTTAAATATCCATGGTAGTCCGTTATAATCTGTTCGTCTGAACTTATATAATGACCATGGTTTTTATCTGCTTTTTCGGCTAATTTCTCTTCTATCTCATTTATTTCAAGTTCATGCCTACCACCACCTCCCGAAGAAGTATTTTTCTTCAGCTCTTGAAGAACGTCCACTTCGCCATCTTTGGTGTCAATAATGAGACTTTGAGTTAAAACCTTTCCTGTCTTAATGGATGTTTGTAAAACTTCTTCTTCACCGTGTTCGGGGTCATGGTCGTCATCATATCTTGTGAAATCAGAGATGTTGTCATACATTAAGCATATCTGTCTCAAAAGTTCTGCTATTTGAAACTGGAACGAAAGATATACAGAACTTTCATCATCTCCTAAAGTCAAGTCTGCTTTCTTAAGTATTTCTTGAATGTATGCAATGAGAACAGAGTACCTTGGAAAATATTCGAACAATATTTCATTAGCTGTTGGTTTTGGTGGTTCTTCTGGAGTTTCTGTTGTTTCGTTCCTTCTGTAGGTTCTGTTGGAGTTTCTGCATCTCTTGACTTCAATGCTCTTGCTCTCAAAGACCTAAATGTTAGAGCACCAGGTTTTACAAAGGACTTTATAAATGCTTTAATAGTTCCTGGTAAGTTATTGTTAGCATTAAGTAAGTTCCTTATGCTTCCATCATGTACGTCCATAGCACTATGTAAAAAATCTATACTTTTCTTGTAGTCAGCAATAGACTGACTGTGATTTTTTAAAGATTTGTCAATACCTTTAAGCCAATCTTCATGCATGTCTGATACTGAGCCAAGAATATCATTTGCTTCCTTTAGTGTATTTTGTGCTTCTCGTAAAGTATCCAATCCCGTACGTGCATTGTTTGCTATACGTCTTACAGTATCTATTTGACTCCTTGTTTCTTGCATCCAACCAGATAAAGTTTTAATAGTATCAGAACCATTTGAAATGAAGTTCAAAGCATTTTTAACGTCATCTAAAACTTCTTCACCAAGTACTGCCCATATCTTTCCGATTTGGTATTGAAGAACTCCATATGAAGCAGCTGTTAAACCAGTATTTATAAGGTTCCATATCCATGATTTAGCAGTTTTTCCATCCTTTCCATCTTCACCATCCAAACCGTTTTCGCCTTGAGGTCCTTGTATTCCTTGTATTCCTTGTATTCCTTGTGGTCCTTGAGGTCCGGTGTCACCCTTCTCTCCTTTCAGTTCATCTTTATGTTCGTTATAATATTCTAATGTCATAAGGTGTACATCATTACTGCTACCAGCAACGCCGAGAATTTGTTTCTCATTCATGACTAAATTCTTTAGGCATTTAATGTTGTCGTCAAATCGAAAGCTCTTTAACAATTCAATGAGAACATTTAATACTTTCACTAATGAGGCATCTACTGTAGAATTTATATATTGCACCGTTCCATCATTTATGATGGGAACCTTGCTTGTTGTAATGAATGGGTCATAAGTGTTAAAAGTATCGAAATCAATGACTTTTTTAGTTTTTCCATCGTCAATGACTAAATCATTGCCTTCAATGGTTAAAGTTGAGTTTTCGTTTACTAGTTCATGTGCTCTTCTTGCTTCATTTGTTTCATACGCATATGCAGCAATAGTCATATTTTAATGAGAATAAAATGTTGTTCTATTTGCAAAGTACAGACCCAAACGAATACGGGACAGTAAAGCTACAAACAAACTTAGATCTTCAGAATGAAGCGCTTGCTTTCAGAGTTGTTGACTTCAATACTATCGCAACTTTTGTCATAACAGATGAAACAGATTTCATAGAGATTGAAATAGATGACAAAAGAAGTGTTATAACATTTCCTAACAGAGCTGGGTATAGAATAGATAAAATTGCTGGAGTCATAAATACTCTCATAAATGAAGAAACTATTGACAAAATAGATGTCGAACTCTCTTCTGAGGGAACATTGAAGTTCAGTAGCAAGAAAGAGTTCAAGATAACACGAATGAGTCATAGAGTACAACTTCTTTTGGGTGCATACCATATGACATTTCCTTTGAAAAGTGTTGACAAAACGATTGAGATGAAATCTGTTCCATATGTATGTTATGGCAATTGTTTATACATTGAGTCAAAAATAGCTAATGTCACAGGTATTTCAGGAGTTAATAGTAAAGGTTCAGTAGAATATAAATCCTTCTGTTATGCAGTCAATTCAATGTTCATTCCAAACGTTCCTGTCATAGCAACTCATTTAGGTAAATGGGTTCGCATCATAATTTGAAAGACATGCAATTCAGACTTGTTGACTTTCAAGGAGAGCCTGTAGAACTGAAGGCACCAGTGCGAATGACTGTTGAAGTTGACTTTTTAGAAAATATTAAATGCAACAGCTTACAAGAGAACTCAGAGCTAAAAATATAAAGTATGAATGTTATGTATTAGGTCATGAACTTTGGTTGTTGCTGTTTGGTGAAACAAATGAGTTAGTTATGTCAGTCAAGAGAACAGAAAAATATTGTGTTAGTGAAAACTGCACCAAGTCAATAAGATTAGGTTTGCATTATGAAGATGAGTTCGATACTGTTGAAGAAGTTTTGGATAGATATTACAAATTGCTAACTTGAAATTTTTTGACTGACGGTGCAAAGCGCCAAGATGGGCTCAAAGAGCCCTCCTGACTGCTTTAATTTACTAAAACATATTTCAAACAAAGCTTATATTCTGTTGAAAGTTTTGTATATTCATTCGAATATTTATACTTAAACTCAACTCCTGTAGTTCCTGGTGTTTCAATGATGCGGATGTTACCTATTTTCATGAATAGTGGAGTTTGACCACAGCATTCGATTTCAGGGTCGAGATAGTCAATGACACATTGTTTCCCTGTTATTCGTGATAACATTTTCAAGGTCCTCCTTTGTTAGAATTATTTGGTTCTTGCTTATAAGATTTGTCAAAAGCTTCTTATCGTCTTTGAGTAAAATTGTTTGGTATAACTGAAGAAGGTAATGGTCTACGTTATCTGAAGGATTTGTTTGAACATTTGTGTAAGGGTTGTCGTTGGCTTCTCTTGAAAGAATTTGGTCCAGTGGTGGATACTCTAACTTAACATCTGATGTAGCGTTAGCGTTTGAAGCTGAGTTTAAATTCACGGATTAGTCTGGTTCTTCTTTCAAACACTCTGAACTATAGTTCTTTATGACAATATTGTTTGTCGTTCGTGAGTCAACATTTGATGTTGGTTCAATTGGAACATTAACGGCACCAGCTAAGATGGATTTGCTTCTCATTTCATATAGAATAAAAACCTTTTATATGTATGAAATGAACAATATACTCGACAAGGGTTTGAATGTAAAGCTAACGAATGAAAATATTGTTGAATTCACTGAGACAGGTGCTGTGTATAAAGATGTAGAACTACTGAACAAAAGAGCTAAGGGAAGAAGCAGGAACATGAACAAAGGGTGGAAGCCTATAAAAATTTATGTCAATGATGGCTCAGGAGGTTCAAACATAAAGTATGCAGAAAGTTATAGAGTTTATGCTCTCAAAGGTGAAAAGCCTTCATTTAAGAACAGCTATTCTAACGCATATCCTCAAAAGCTAACGGATGGGAAGTGGATGATATGAATGACAGCAAAAATATTAACAGAAATGGCGACAGAGATGCATGGAATTTGTTTACCATCAGTCAATTGAAGGTTAAACTTTAAAACAATGTTGGTCGTTCCCATGGAATATTTTTGACTTTAATGGTATTAGTCATGATATGAATCTCAAGGTATGAACGAGGAGAGATGAGAGACTTATATGCTTCCCAAATTTCTTCAAAAGGTAATGTTATACCTGACTGTTTCCAAATGAGTTCAATATCATAGCGTGAGAAACCTTGAAAGATAACGAAGTCAGTTATGAGACGTTTTATGTTTAAAGCTAAAAACCTCCATGTTTGCATAAGTATTGCTACAGTTAAATGGTAATGTCTGACTTTAGTAATGATGTTAGCTAATGGTGAGTCTGGTTTTGACACTAAACCTTTTCCGGCGAAGTCGTCACAAACGAAGAGTGTTTGAAGGATATTTTTTGAAGGGGTATTTTGAAAGTTTTGACAGAATGTAGTTTGTAAGTCGTTTCATATCGTAAACTCCTGAGTATTGACGTAAGTGGTGTTTGTCAATAATTCTTTCCATCTCCTCAGAAGTCTTTTGCATTCCTGACTGTATAAATCACGATGGCATAATATTTCCTCTTACGTCGAATGTAACGTTGAAGAAATTCAATGAGTTCACTGTCTGGAACTTTAACGACAGAGGCTTGAACTTTTGACATAAATGTTTTCGCTGTTGAGTCCATAGAGTCTGAAGTTGCTGATATAATGATTTGGTCATAGTAAGAGTCGTTTCCTAAACGTTCTGTTATGAGTATATGACGAATGAGGTTAAATGTCTTACCTGAACCCATCTTTCCACAATAGAAATAAACCCATTTGAACAGAACTCATAGTCCTTACTGAAAGGAAGAATGAGAGAAGAGTTAAGTTTGTCTGTAGTTTCATTCATGTCTTCATCTACGTCATGTATTAAATGCTTCATTTTATCTCCATTAAAAATGCAAGTCAGAAATATTCAGAACATAGCACCGAGTCTAACTGACAAGAGTATAAAGATATACTATGAACACGTTATGATGAAACCACCAAAATTCAAGAAAGTCAGTATACTTATGAATATCCAAGACACTGGGTAGAGTATGTAGGAGGTGAGAAAGCTATTGAAATCAGACAGGTTCGAAGTATTCCAGCAGGAAGAACAATATTATTGAAGAACTTTAATGTTTTGAGATATAATGATGAAACAAAGAAGCAAGATAGTTTTCCTGTTGCTGTGTATGTGAACTAGATACAGGAGATGACATGAAAGTTTTTAATACAAAGCTTCAAACGGTAGTGAGAGAACAACTGACTGCGGAAGGACATCCATTACCTTCAGAAGTTACCATAGCATATAATTTTGAAACAAACTCAATAGATTTTAAAGTCGTCTCTGCAAAGAAGTCAGGTTTTACATTTAATGAAGCAGATGTATATTCGAATGAAAACTTCAAAGCTATTGCATGGTTAGATAATGACGATTGCTTTAAGAAAATATTTAAATTCAGTGACTCAAAGATGTCAATAGATGACCTTCGTGGAATGTTACCATCGACGTTTACAGTAGAAGGTTCAGCAGGATTGCTTACAAGATTGTCAATTGGTGGTATTTGGTCTCGTGAGAACATTGTTATAAAATCCAGTATAAGTGAATTTGCTGAAGAATCTATATTATGTCTTTCAAACTACATGTATTCGCCGCCGAAGCATTATAGTATAACAAACTTTGTCAGTAAGTTTAACATAAGACTTGTCGAACCTTCTTCAATGAAAGATGTTGTGCTACCTAAAGATGGAAAGGATGGACTCATTATTGAGATGATTTTAATAGCATATTAAATGAGCTTGTTCTTGAAGGTCATTCATGATGAAATAACTGTTGTAGAAGATGTTAGCAATTGTTCAGACATTTTGAGAATAGATGAGATAAGAAAGAAGTTTATGAATGAGAACGTTTATGTTTCATTGACTTTCTCCAGTAACGAGAACTTTTATGAGATAATATTGAAGAGAGATGATTTTAATATGGTGTAAATGGTAGCTTGGGCAGCTTTAGGCGCAATGGGAACAAAAGCATTAGCATTTGGAGCAAAAGCACTTGGAGCTTATGACGCAGTAAATAAAATGAGTGGAGGAAGGTTTCGAAGACATTAGATGCAAATAAAGGAAGATTGGAGGCTGGGTTGCAAAGAAGTTAAGATTAAATAAAATAGGGCTCATAAATAAAGCATCCAATTTGGTTGCGACTGAGTCAGAAAATGCTTTAGGAAAGGACGATGAGTTTGCAAAACACGCAAAAGACTTTAATGACCAGATGAAAGGTGAAACAATGCATTTAAATAGAGTCGATGGAACTAAAGAAAATGTTTCTTCTCCACCAGTAGTTCTTCCGTATGGTCCCTATGGAATGTATGGAAACCCTTACGAAAGACCATTTGACCCATTGACTGGTGGAAGTAACTGGTATCATTACGGACGAAGAAGAAAGACAGTCAAGTTGGAGACAGACGTGAAGAAAGCAACTAAAAAGAAACCAAGGAAGAGAGTTATAAAGCAATGAATTCAACAGGGTGAAAAACAGGTGAAAAAAGAGGTGAGATCTCACCACTTCACCTAAATTTATTTTTGTGCTATGTTTTCATACGTGTGAGGGTGGTGATATCATTAATTTTTAAGTTTATTTTTTATTTTACTGAAATTTTTATTTGGATGTAAATGACAGAACAAAAGCAACTCATTCGAATTCCACAGTATAAAAAACATACATTTAAACATTTATTCTTCCTTCCTGAGCATAACATGTTCTTTCAAATACATCCGAGACCAGTTGACTTTTCATTGACTGTGTATAAAGATAGAAATAGTTATATCATTAAACCATACGATGACGAAGGTAAGTTATGTAAATTGTACGTTAAGAAGTTAGAGAAAGTTTATGGCTTCAAGTATGACTACAATAGGGTTAACACTGATGATGAAGATATTGAGGAAAATTTATGAGAACATTAGTGAAGTCGTTAGTGAGAACGATAGTGAGAACGTTTATTTTTTACATTAGTGAGTTCGTTAGTGAAGTGGTTGGCGGCTTTGTAAATATTTAAGGTTAAGTTAGTGTTGTCGTTTGTGTTGTAAAATATACGTTAACGGTTTTGTAAAGTGTCAAATTCACAAGTATTGGGTAAGGTGGAACGCAGTGCCACAGTACCCAACTAAGCCATACTAACTGGGTAGAAGGTTAGATCTAACCTCATTTCTAACCTCTTTTCTACCCTGTTGAATTCATTGCTTTATAACTCTCTTCCATGGTTTCTTTTTAGTTGCTTTCTTCACGTCTGTCTCCAACTTGACTGTCTTTCTTCTTCGTCCGTAATGATACCAGTTACTTCCACCAGTCAATGGGTCAAATGGTCTTTCGTAAGGGTTTCCATACATTCCATAGGGACCATACGGAAGAACTACTGGTGGAGAAGAAACATTTTCTTTAGTTCCATCGACTCTATTTAAATGCATTGTTTCACCTTTCATCTGTCATTAAAGTCTTTTGCGTGTTTTGCAAACTCATCGTCCTTTCCTAAAGCATTTTCTGACTCAGTCGCAACCAAATTGGATGCTTTATTTATGAGCCCTATTTTATTTAATCTTAACTTCTTTGCAACCCAGCCTCCAATTTCCCTTTATTTGCATCTAATGTCTTCGAAAACCTTCCTCCACTCATTTTATTTACTGCGTCATAAGCTCCAAGTGCTTTTGCTCCAAATGCTAATGCTTTTGTTCCCATTGCGCCTAAAGCTGCCCAAGCTACCATTTACACCATATTAAAATCATCTCTCTTCAATATTATCTCATAAAAGTTCTCATTACTGGAGAAAGTCAATGAAACATAAACGTTCTCATTCATAAACTTCTTTCTTATCTCATCTATTCTCAATAAAATGTCTGAACAATTGCTAACATCTTCTACAACAGTTATTTCATCATGAATGACCTTCAAGAACAAGCTCATTTAATATGCTATTAAAATCATCTCAATAATGAGTCCATCCTTTCCATCTTTAGGTAGCACAACATCTTTCATGAAGAAGGTTCGACAAGTCTTATGTTAAACTTACTGACAAAGTTTTGTTATACTATAATGCTTCGGTGGCGAATACATGTAGTTTGAAAGACATAATATAGATTCTTCAGCAAATTCACTTATAACTGGATTTTATAACAATGTTCTCACGAGACCAAATACCACCAATTGACAATCTTGTAAGCAATCCTGCTGAACCTTCTACTGTAAACGTCGATGGTAACATTCCACGAAGGTCATCTATTGACATCTTTGAGTCACTGTATTTAAATATTTTCTTAAAGCAATCGTCATTATCTAACCATGCAATAGCTTTGAAGTTTTCATTCGAATATACATCTGCTTCATTAAATGTAAAACCTGACTTCTTTGCAGAGACGACTTTAAAATCTATTGAGTTTGTTTCAAAATTATATGCTATGGTAACTTCTGAAGGTAATGGATGTCCTTCCGCAGTCAGTTGTTCTCTCACTACCGTTTGAAGCTTTGTATTAAAAACTTTCATGTCATCTCCTGTATCTAAGTTCACATACACAGCAACAGGAAAACTATCTTGCTTCTTTGTTTCATCATTATATCTCAAAACATTAAAGTTCTTCAATAATATTGTTCTTCCTGCTGGAATACTTCGAACCTGTCTGATTTCAATAGCTTTCTCACCTCCTACATACTCTACCAGTGTCTTGGATATTCATAAGTATACTGACTTCCTTGAATTTTGGTAGGTTTTCATAACGTGTTCATAGTATATCTTTATACTCTTGTCAGTTAGACTCGGTGCTATGTTCTGAATATTTCTGACTTGCATTTTTAATGGAGATAAAATGAAGCATTTAATACATGACGTAGATGAAGACATGAATGAAACTACAGACAAACTTAACTCTTCTCTCATTCTTCCTTTCAGTAAGGACTATGAGTTCTGTTCAAATGGCGTTTATTTCTATTGTGGAAAGATGGGTTCAGGTAAGACATTTAACCTCATTCGTCATATACTCATAACAGAGCGTTTAGGAAACGACTCTTACTATGACCAAATCATTATATCAGCAACTTCAGACTCTATGGATTCAACAGCGAAAACATTTATGTCAAAAGTTCAAGCCTCGGTCGTTAAAGTTCCAGACAGTGAACTCATTGAATTTCTTCAACGTTAAATTCGACGTAAGAGAAAATATTATGCCATCGTAGAGTTCATACAGTCAGGAATGCAAAAGACTTCTGAGGAGATGGAAAGAATTATTGACAAACACCACTTACGTCAATACTCAGGAGTTTACGATATGAAACGACTTACAAACTACATTCTGTCAAAACTTTCAAAATACCCCTTCAAAAAATATCCATCAAACACTTTATTAGTTTGTGACGACTTCGCTGGTAAAGGTTTAGTGTCAAAACCAGACTCACCATTAGCTAACATCATTACTAAAGTCAGACATTACCATTTAACTGTAGCAATACTTATGCAAACATGGAGGTTTTTAGCTTTAAACATAAAACGTCTCATAACTGACTTCGTTATCTTTCAAGGTTTCTCACGCTATGACATTGAACTCATTTGGAAACAGTCAGGTATAACATTACCTTTTGAAGAAATTTGGGAAGCATATAAGTCTCTCATCTCTCCTCGTTCATACCTTGAGATTCATATCATGACTAATACCATTAAAGTCAAAAATATTCCATGGGAACGACCAACATTGTTTTAAAGTTTAACCTTCAATTGACTGATGGTAAACAAATTCCATGCATCTCTGTCGCCATTTCTGTTAATATTTTTGCTGTCATTCATATCATCCACTTCTCCATCCGTTAACTTTTGAGGATATGCGTTAGAATAGCTGTTCTTAAATGAAGGCTTTTCACCTTTGAGAGCATAAACTCTATAACTTTCTGCATACTTTATGTTTGAACCTCCTGAGCCATCATTGACATAAATTTTTATAGGCTTCCACCCTTTGTTCATGTTCCTGCTTCTTCCCTTTGCTCTTTTGTTCAGTAGTTCTACATCTTTATACACAGCACCTGTCTCAGTGAATTCAACAATATTTTCATTCGTTAGCTTTACATTCAAACCCTTGTCGAGTATATTGTTCATTTCATACATATAAAAGGTTTTTATTCTATATGAAATGAGAAGCAAATCCATCTTAGCTGGTGCCGTTAATGTTCCAATTGAACCAACATCAAATGTTGACTCACGAACGACAAACAATATTGTCATAAAGAACTATAGTTCAGAGTGTTTGAAAGAACCAGAACCAGAGCTGAAATCCGTGAATTTAAACTCAGCTTCAAACGCTAACGCTACATCAGATGTTAAGTTAGAGTATCCACCAGTGGACCAAATTCTTTCAAGAGAAGCCAACGACAATCCTTACACAAATGTTCAAACAAATCCTTCAGATAACGTAGACCATTACCTTCTTCAGTTATACCAAACAATTTTACTCAAAGACGATAAGAAGCTTTTGACAAATCTTATAAGCAAGAACCAAATAATTCTAACAAAGGAGGACCTTGAAAATGTTATATCACGAATAACAGGGAAACAATGTGTCATTGACTATCTCGACCCTGAAATCGAATGCTGTGGTCAAACTCCACTATTCATGAAAATAGGTAACATCCGCATCATTGAAACACCAGGAACTACAGGAGTTGAGTTTAAGTATAAATATTCGAATGAATATACAAAACTTTCAACAGAATATAAGCTTTGTTTGAAATATGTTTTAGTAAATTAAAGCAGTCAGGAGGGCTCTTTGAGCCCATCTTGGCGCTTTGCACCGTCAGTCAAAAAATTTCAAGTTAGCAATTTGTAATATCTATCCAAAACTTCTTCAACAGTATCGAACTCATCTTCATAATGCAAACCTAATCTTATTGACTTGGTGCAGTTTTCACTAACACAATATTTTTCTGTTCTCTTGACTGACATAACTAACTCATTTGTTTCACCAAACAGCAACAACCAAAGTTCATGACCTAATACATAACATTCATACTTTATATTTTTAGCTCTGAGTTCTCTTGTAAGCTGTTGCATTTAATATTTTCTAAAAAGTCAACTTCAACAGTCATTCGCACTGGTGCCTTCAGTTCTACAGGCTCTCCTTGAAAGTCAACAAGTCTGAATTGCATGTCTTTCAAATTATGATGCGAACCCATTTACCTAAATGAGTTGCTATGACAGGAACGTTTGGAATGAACATTGAATTGACTGCATAACAGAAGGATTTATATTCTACTGAACCTTTACTATTAACTCCTGAAATACCTGTGACATTAGCTATTTTTGACTCAATGTATAAACAATTGCCATAACATACGTATGGAACAGATTTCATCTCAATCGTTTTGTCAACACTTTCAAAGGAAATGTCATATGGTATGCACCCAAAAGAAGTTGTACTCTATGACTCATTCTTGGTATCTTAAACTCCTTCACATAACTGAACTTCAAAACTCCTGCAATAAGTTTAACATTCATTAAGTTTTCTTCGTTATCCTTGTTTATTGTAGTATTTATGAGAGCATTTAACACTCCAGCTAATGTTTCCATCTTATATTCTACATTATTGTGAAATCTTATTTCGTGCTTCTTTCCATCTATTTCAATCTCCATGAAATCTGTTTCATCTGTTATAACGAATGAAGCGATAGTATTGAAGTCAACCATTCTGAATGCAAGCGCCTCATTCTGTAGACCTAAGTTTGTTTGTAGCTTTACTGTCCGTATTCGCTTGGGTCTGTACTTTGCAAATAGAACAACATTTTATTCTCATTAAAATATGAGTATAGCTGCATATGCGTATGAAGCTGACAGAGCTAAACGTTTATATTTTGGTCAATACTCTCTCACACTTACTGACAAATATATTGTTATCACTGATGGAAATACTGAGAAATACATAACATGGAAGGACTATGAAAAGTTTGACCCTATTTTAACTCCATGTACTATGCCGTTTATAAAGGACGGTGAAATTATTGAAAAAGATAATACAACCGTATATAGGTCTGTTTATGAAGCATTAGAATATATGTTGAATCATAACCCAAAAAGATTTGACCCAAGCACTACACCATGTGCAATGCCTTTTATTAAGGACGGTGAAATCGTAAGAGTTCCGGATTCAACGGTTTACACAGCTGTTCAAAACAGTTTACAAAACATTTTAGCGAATATCTTTAATTCAGAAACTACAGAAATAAAATTACCATATATAACAGATGCTAAAGAAATTAAATCAAAACGACAACATTATTTACGTCACTTAATGATTTAATGACTTATATCATTAATATTCCTGCACCAACTACAGCATTTGATCCAAACTCGACGGTTTGCAGTGTACCTTTCATAAATGACAGTTCATTAATTACTTTAAGGGATTCAACAGTTAATGAATCATTAAAGGCTTCATTAATGAAAATCATTGATTTTAATTCATTCACGAATACATATAATTCATTCATTAATGTTTCATATGCTTCTAAAGAAGGTGAGCCAAAAACTATCGATAAAGCGGTGTATGAAATAAAAGCATCAACGACGAAATTGAATTCGTTAACTTTTGACGGTGATAGTTTCGTTAATGACATAACATCGGGGAAAACAATTTTAACGAAAGAATACTTAAAATCTCATGTTAGTGAGTTCGTTGAAATTGAAAAAAAGGTGGAATTAAGTTCGATCCACTGAATTTCATTTTCAGCTTAGCGAATGCGGGTGTTAGTTTCGCTGAATGGACAACTATACAGAGTGAAATAAATGCAATATGGACGTTTTTGGGGTCAAAAGCGGGAATGGGTGAGCTTGTAAATGCTGCAAGAACATTAGGTGAAACAGGAAATTTTGTAGATGGTTTTAAAAGACTTGTTTCAAATGTTTTAACAAACACAAAGAAATTATTTAGATATACCGTACATAACGGACGGATTTTCGAACAGATAGCAACAAACCTCCGGTTATGGCTGCGTTGATGATGGTTTAGAGATATAAAACCACGTAACGACGGGAACGAAGAACATGAACAACAGGATACTGGTCGGGTTATTCGAGACATTAAAAACGTGTATCTTGAAGTTATTGATTTATTTAGAGGAGTTAATGATTCAATTTCAAAACATTCTATAACCCTCGATGAGAGAATAAATTAAAGATTATATATTCGTCATTATTGCAGAATTAATGAAGAGAATAAATGAAAAAGGAATTGGTGATATCATTAATGTCAGCGATGTAATGATGAATAGAAATTTTGACTCATTATTTACAAAACCGAAAAACAGAAATATAGTCTTTATGACGTAATTACCGAATTAATGAAAAAGATTAATGATAATAAGAGTTCTGGCGGAAGAGTTGAATTAGAAGTGAATGATGTTAATGAGAAATTAGCCGTAAAAGCAGGCAAAAATGAGCTTTTAGCTCTGAGTGATAAAGTCAAGAACCACGTTCATTATATAACTTCAGACGAACAGATTATAACGGACTACCATGGATATTTAACACGAAGTGATGAAGCGAAGACATAAGATGTTAATGAAAGAAGATATAAATACATTCGTGCTAAAGGTTATGACATAAGCTGTACTGTACAGTATGATGTAGCTAAAGCACCAGAAGCATTTGGTTATACCGGTGAAATTTATGCCTCTACTTTCAATGTTAACGGTGGATTAGTTGAACCAAAATTTACGTTGAGAGTTAAGTCAAAAATAACGTTTGAAGATGCTATTAAAAGTAAAGCTGACAAAGTTGAACTCGAAGCAATGAACAAAGTTTTGAAATCTCATAAACACAACATCTCCGATATAAATGAACTTCAAGCTACATTAGACAGTAAAGCCGACAAGAACCATACAAACGAATCCTTCACTACTGTTAGAGCAGACGATGTAATATTGAACTATGATTTGGGTTCAAGTGCACCTTTAGAGAATCCGAGTACAAGCGTAAAAGATACTCTTAACAATTTAGATAACAGATGTATGAACATTGAAGGTCATGCCAGAAACTTTGAAGCATACGAACTACCAGCAATGTTAGATAAGAAAGCTGACAAAACTTATGTGGATGCAGAACTAACAAAGAAATTTTCGAAACCAGACACAATGACATTCACAACAGAATTTATAAATGGTGAACCAGCAACTCCATTTGAATTTGTAAGAGGCATTCAACCAGAAACATTTGAATTTTTCTTGGATAATTCTATAGAGCTAACATTACATTATAAAAGTGGAACAAATGCAACATTTCATCCGGGAGATACATTCCAAATGGTATTTAATGACATAAGTTCTTTAGAATATATTTATAGAGTTATGAGCATATATGATTTAATATATCCTATAGGAGCTGTTTATACGTCTATGAATCCAATAAATCCAAACACTTTATTTGGTGGTAGATGGTATGAAATAGTTGACAGTTTTCCATTCTACACTAATACGCAGTCAATGAAGATGGGAGGTTCAAAGAAAATAGGTATTGAAAACCTTCCTTCACATATGCATAAGTTCAGTGGAACAACATCTGTGGAAGGAAACCATTCACATTCAATAACAAAAAGAGGTTATAGAAATCTTGCAGCAGGTTCGGATAGACAGGGAATGGATAGATATGATATTTCAAGCGACCCAGTAGATTCAAGCGCAGGTATTTTCTGTGGAACTGCAGGAAACCATACACATGTTTATGCTGGCATTACAGACCCAGCAGGTAATGGAAAAGATTATATGCCTCCTTATATAACAATGCACGCTTGGATACGAGTTGGTTAAAATCTTTATTTTTACTTAAATGAGTTTGAAAGAAGTATTCGAACAACATCCATGGAGGTCATTTAAGAAGTTCAATGAAGCTGCAAAGAGTTGGGGATTTACTAACAGAGCTGAAGTGAAAAGGTTCTTTGACAAAAATGTTGTACATCAAACAAAAATAAACCCTTACGACTACTTTTTACCAATTTACTCCAACGCTCCTGACGCATACCAATTTGACACTCTCATTCAAAGCAGAAAAGGAGGACATAAACCATTCCTCATCTTCATTAATGTTAACACTCGTAAAGCATATGCATATCCAATGAGGAATAAAGGAACTCGTGAAGTGTTAAGAGTTTTACAAAAGTTTGTAGCAGAACATAACCCAAGTACTTTAACATCAGACCAAGACAGTGCATACCTCAGCAACGAAATCACAGATTTTCTCATTAAGCATAACATAACTCACTACACTACTGAAGACCATAACCATAACATACTCGGCATCATAAACCGCTTCATAAGAACGCTCAGAGATTTAAACCAAGAGCGAGACTTTACCGAAGAAACAATGAAACATTTTCTCGAAGTATATAATTCCTCAACACATTCTACAACAGGACATACACCAAATTCAATGACACAACAACAAGAAGAAAAGTATATACAAAAGAAACGAAGCCAAACACAAAATATCAGAAATTCAACACAATTTACCCTCATTCCTGGTACAAAAGTTCGTGTAGTTCTTGACGACAAACCGTTGACAAAGAAACGTTTAAGGTTAAGTAGAAACTATTATATCGTAGACTCTACGCAAGGTAATGGATATCTTATAAAAGCTGCTGACGACTCTATTGCGTTTTACCCTCGTCACAATTAGTCGAAAGTAGTAATGGCAAACTTGCTGAAACCATTGACGAAGCAAAGCGAGGAGTGGTTATTGAAATACTTGGCTACAACATAAACGATGACACTTATAAAGTAAGATATGAAGGAGGCGTTGAAGATGTTATACCATCTAAGAACTTGAGAGAGTCAAAGTCAACACATCTGGGGCCATTAGAGCGGGAGTACTGGAAAGACAAAAATAAGCCAGAAAGAATAAGAAAATTCTTCTAAACTTTTTCATTAGATGTAAATCAGACATGAATGAGAACAGTCATGTATTATTAATGTTTTCATAAATTTACACCAAAAATAATGTTTAGGGTAGATGGTTAGATCTACCCTCATTTCTACCCTCATGAATTTTCATGAATTTTATATATTAATGTTTTCGTTAAGCCACTTTGTGCCGTCAGTCAGTCAGTCAGGACCTTCGGTCTTGGCGCTTTGCGCCGTCAGTTTAGGAAAGACTTTAGAAAGTTGTTGGAAAATAAGTCCTGGGAAGAGTATTATAAGGCATTTTGTGAAGAATATAGCAACAGTCTGAATTCAGACGGTTGCTTTTTATACAAAATTCATGCAGGAAATTCTTGAGTTTTGGTTGAAAGAATACGGTGGAGCCAAAAGTGGCTCGACCTCAAAACAAGCATTTTATGAGCTTACTAAGGGCGTTATAAATGAATTCAAATGTATTTACATACATCCTGACCTCGTTCATTTTGTTGCTGAATTCACCAAAAATAATGTTTAGGGTAGAAGGTTAGATCTAACCTCATTTCTACCCTCATTTCTACCCTCATGAATTTTCATGAATTTCCTTAAGATAGAAAAAATAACGCTAATTTTTTTCTAAGAAAAATTTTTATTTTGTATAAAAGATATGATTTCAACAATCGGCACAACAACAATTCAAACAACTTCACCAAACTCGTTAGTCATGAATCCAACATCTATGTTAGTAGAGATGAAAAGCTTCATTCCTTCTTCATATAGTTTTGTAACAGAAATACAAAGAATAAAGCAAGAACTTTTAACAAGTAATTTAGACTGTACCGCACAGGATGAAGAAAATGAACAGTATCTTTATGAAATGCAGGACATTATTGACCATTTACCCAAATTGCCTGAAATCCAACAACAAAAGCTCACTATTCCTGAATTCGATGAAATAGAAGTGAAACCAACTGACTCAGTAGAAATAAAGAAGTTCATACGTAAAGTAAACTATGAGTTTCTAGGATATCATTGCAACCATAAAGTTATGGACAAAGATTGCGACATGGTATATAAGAACATCTCTGACATATATAAATCTGGGGAGTTTAAGACATACGACAACTTTGTTTCATTAGTTGCAAAATGTGTATGGCAGATAAGAGATAAAGATAGAAGAGGTAAGGTATGGAATGAACAGATAAAACCAACTGCTTCAGATTTAAAGAAAACCATTGACGCCTTGGTTGTTTTAGCAGGTAAGGTTTCAGAATATAACGCAAAAATGAACCCGCAATGTTCTAAATGTAAAGCAGCAATGAGGAAATATAACTACTCAGTCAAAGAGATAGAAAGAATGCGAAACGACTATGCAGACTTAAAGAAAGAAGCAGAAAAACCAGCAGAAGATAAAATGGACATGTTAGAATTTCTGAACAAAAACTATCCAACTGCTGACGATTTCCTTCTATCTGACGTCAAGAAGAAGTATAAAGAAACTTTCGGCATTGTTAAAACATTCGATGTACTAAAAGAAGAAATAGAAGCTACAAAACTGTTTAGAGTCTCACGAATTCATAACGTTTACCATGTAAAACGGTTATAAATAATGAGGGTAGAAATGAGGTTAGATCTAACCTTCTACCCTAAACATTATTTTTGCTGAAAAATGACCAAATTTCATGAATTTCATTAGTTAGAAAAATAACGCTAATTTTTTCTAAGAAAATTTTTTATCTTGTATGTAAAGACAGTAATGTCAAACATTGAGTTTGAAACAGTTAGAAAGATAGACAATGACACCAAAGTGGTTAGAATTGGTGATTTAAACGTAAGATACTGTAAGAAATACAACAAATATTCTTTGTCAGACATTATAACACCATCTGGAAAGAAAACAAAGGACTGGGTTAGAATTGCTTCTACTCAGAAAATTTTGACAAGAAATCCTGAGCTTATGATATCGGTAAGATTCTATGGAACTACAGCATATCTCATTGACAAAAGTCTTATACCAATAGTTTTGTTATGGTTAGAACCAGTTGTTGGATATAACTTCATAACTTATGGTTCATTCGATACGGAACGTTGCAGTGAAGGTTTACTTTACATCGTTCAGAAATCGAAGGACTTCAATACAAAGAGATATAAGATAGGAAGAACATATAATATAACTCAAAGATATGACTCTACAGTCAATAGAGTCAAGGTTGTGTTTGTTAATGATATGAGAGCTGCTGAACAGAACTGCTTGAAGTTTTTGAGAAAATGTATGGTGCTCCCACGAAAGGTAAAGAAACGTTTGAAGTAGATGAGATAGATAAAGCTATAAAATTATTTGACGAAGTTGCTGAAAAATACATGTAAAGCGTTTATTTTTGGTCTTTTGTGAAAGTCAGAAAATAACGCTAATTTTTTTCTAACAAATTTTTTTATTTTGTATGTAAAGACAGTAATGTCAACATTAGAGAACACAACAACAGTTATAGTCCATGAAGCCATAAATGAAGAATACGAATACATACAATATAACAAACAACTTCGCCTCATTCGTTCGGTCAAAGACGATATGTACCAAATGCAAAGTATAATGAACGCTCTTCGTTCTACAAAGCAAGCATATCATTGGTTTGAAAACCAACAGACAAAAGAACTTTTAGAAGAATTTCCTCATATGATTGCTTCCCTCGGAAAACCGAGAGAAGAGATTCCGTACGAAAATCGCAAGAATTTGGCTCCTGGTTTGAAAGGTTATTATGTTCATAGACTTTTAGTAAATGCTGTAGCAATGTGGGCTTCACCTCGTTATGCTTGTTATATTTTCATGATGTTAGATGAACTATATAAAGCAGAACGTGGAGAGATGGAAAAGAAACTTCAAGCAAAAGATGAAGTCATTGAAGCAAAAGACAAAAGCATACAGAAAAGAATACCGCGTTCAGTACCAAAAGGAAAGGAAAAGAGTTATAAGTATATGATATATACTGAAGAGTTGGAGAAAGAAGAAGATAAAGATATGGTTATGTTGCATTTAGTCAGAAGAAACAACAAAAGCTTTTACGACCTTGCTAAGATATATAAATCTGACAGAAACTGGTTCTATCGTGAAAACTTACCGATTTCAATGACACCGAATGAGCAAATAAAGGAAATTGTCAAAAATACTCTTCCTCAAACACACTATGACATCAAAGGTTGCACAATACTTACATTCAAAGAAGACTTAACATTACTGAAGGAAAAAATAACAGAATATTTCGATATCTTCAAAGAGGAAGAATGAACAAAAATAATTTTTTTTGTTCAATGCTTTGAAATTTTATACAAAAATATATTTTTGCTTAAATAGCTTCAGGGTCTATTTCTTCAACCATTTCACTTCCTTCGTCAATGTCAATAGAAGCTTCTTCAACCTTTGGTAAGAATTTCTGTATAACATCTTTGTTCGTTATTGTCTTCAGAGATGAAGGATAATATTTCACATTTGTTTCACCTTTCTTATATTCTTTCTGTTCGGAAAGATTTAAAGCAATACTGAAGAAGTCAATGTTAGAGTTCTTTATAACAGTATAATGAGTATCTTTGACATTCACGAAGAAACCCTTTTGTTTCAAAACTACTGCTAACTCTTGTGAAGTATAACGTTTGCGGTCAATGACGATAGCTAATGGTCTGACATACTGACCAAACTTAGATTCTTTCACAAACTTCTTGTTAAAGATAACATTAACGTTTGAAGCATTATTGAACTCATTCTTGATGGCAGTAGCGAGAGCATTGTATGAAAAGAACTTGCAATCTTGCATGTGTTTCATTAAAATAAAAAGTTCGAAATATTTTAAAACTAGCCTTAAAAAATCTAAGCTAATTTTTTTCTAAGAAATTTTTTTATTTCCTACTAAAGATGTATCGGAAGTTGTCTAAGTTAGAACACTCGGAAATAAAACAACTTCTTACAGAAGCTAACATAGAAGTAGCAAAACATTACGCAACAAACAAAAAAGCACTCGCTGACATCCTCAATGACTACAATGGTGCAATAAGTTATGATAGAATTCATGAGTTCATAAAGCCGCAACGCGGCGAGGACGAAGTCCATGCAAGAGCATTTCCTTTAAATGACGTTGCTATTGACTTATATCATAGACGTTCAGTACCTCATGAAGTAAGAAGAGAAATGTTTGACATAACAAATGCAAACGTTGGTGAAACAAGAAGAAGAGACGACACACTGAAACAAACAGAGAAGAGAGATGTTTAAAAGTGCTATAGAACAAGTTCGCAAAGCTAACGATGTCATTCGTTCCATTGACGACAAACCAAAAGAAGGTGAGAGATGGTTAAAGAAAGATGAAGAGAATAGGAAGAGAAATGTGAAGTCAGGCAATAGACTCATTGACTTTAACATCGAAGCTTTAGATGAACCAAACAGAGACTACTTACACAAACATTTCGGTAAGGTTTTCATGAGACTCTTAGAGAAGATTAAAATAAACTCCCAACAAAGATGGATGGTATGTTATAAACTTGGTGGAAAGTATGAATGTTCTACGTTAAACCTCAATAATATTGGAACATTACTACATCAGCTCTTGAAGGAGAACTTTATATCAGAGATAGAAGCAAATGCTGCAGGTATTGTTGAAATGCACTATGACTTCTTCTTGACAAACATAAAGAATCTTACTGAAATAAAGATGTATGATTTAACAGAATATGAAGGCTTAACGATGTCAGATGTAAGAAAGGCAAACCAAAAGAGACCATATAGAGATGAAAGCACACTGACAAATGACCAGAAAGCCATTTTGGAAGCTCTTAAGCAAACAGGAAACCCAGCACTTATAGAAAGCTTTTGGAAAGATAATGGTGAAAAGAAGTTTTATAAGAAGAGAAGCGGTCAGTTCTGGAAGTATCTTTGCACATTACCTATAAATCTTGAACGCTACCAAATCTTCAATGAACTGAACAAAAGAACTGCAACACTTATGACAGAAGACAATTGTTTCGTTTATGCTTGCATTCAGGCTGGAGTAATGAAGAAACTATTGACCACATGAGAGAAGTCATTCGTGTTAGAGACTTTCCTCAAAGTAAAGTACAAGAAATTTCTGACGCAACAGGTATAGCATTTAATGTTACCATTGGTTATTTCGACAACTCCAAAGATAACAGAATAATTCACTACATACCAAAAGAATGTGAAACTGTCGAACTATTGACTTACTTCTTGTTGAAGACCACTACATGCTAAATGAAAGATTACCAATGACAACATATTTCATCAGAAATTACAGAGAAATCTTGAAGGAGTGTGGTGGAATGAACATTGAGAAACAGATGAAGATTTATACAAAGAGAGAAAAATATGTAGTTCGTTATGATAGAACAACACCGTTATGGGATGTTATGAAAACATTGTGGGAGTGCAAATATTTCGAACCTATTTCTTATGGAGAACTTTTCACATATACGACTGACTTATATAAACAGAACCTTGCACCATTTAAAGATTTGACATATGCTCCAAAGTATTGTGTACAACTGAAGAAGAAAGCCGAGTCAAAAGAAGTAAATAAAAATAAGTGCAAGTTCATTCCTGAGCACGTTTTCTTTGCTGACTTTGAGTGTAGCACAGACGGCTTTCATAAAGCTTTTAACATCTGTTATGACAGTGAAGATGGTTCAGTGAGTGAAAGCATTTGGGGTCAGAACTGTGCAACAGAATTTTTGGAACGACTTCCTGACAAGAGTTTAATATATTTCCATAACCTCAGTTATGATATAAACTTCATCTTAAGACACATGACAGAAGTGAAAGGAACTCCCATCATTAAAGGTTCACGAACAATGCAAATAACTGGCTTATATAAAGGAAGGGCAATTATTATAAAAGACTCTTACAGTGTTATAAATAAGAAGCTTAAACTATTTCCTGCTATGTTTAACTTACAAACAGGACCGAAAGAAGTATTTCCATACAACTACTACAGCAGTGTTTTGTTAGCAAATGACAACAGAACTGGTGTCATTTCTGAAGCATGTAAGTTTATCCGGGATGCAGATACATTCATGAAAACATAGATTCCATCAAAGGTTGCAGAATAGATGAGAACCACTTCGACTTAGAAAAGTATAGCACATTTTATTGCAAACAAGATGTAAGAATTTTAAGAGAAGGTTTTGTTAAGTTCCGCAATGACATATTGAAAGAATTTGATTTAAACGTTTATGACTACGTTAGTATTTGTTCATTGCTAACAAATTATTTGAGAACAGAGTGTACTTCCCGAATGGAAATTTATATGACCTCTCAAATAAACCAAGAGAATTTATTTCACGCTGTATTCAAGGTGGAAGATGTATGCTGTCAGATAACATGAAACAAAAGAGCGAAAAGAAACTCATTGCTGATTCGACGCTGTTTCATTATATCCATCAGCTATAGCAAGACTTTATACTTTAGAAGGTATTCCAAAGGTTATGAAGAAAGAAATGTTAAGCACAGAGTATCTCATGAGACATTTATTCGATGACGACCAAAAGGAACCCATTGGTGAAAAGTTTATGTCTGGCTTCTTTGTTCTCATTAAGATAACAGAGATT